CAATTCTATGATACTTTTTTATGATACTTTTCTATGATACTTTTTTAGGTGCACGAACATTAAGTACAGTAACATTAGCAACGTTCATTTAGTATAACTTTCATTTTAAAACTAAAATTATGTTTTTATTGTGCATTATTGTAGGGAGGTAAAGGAAGACCGGGACCACCAGGTCCGAAAGGACCGCGTGGTTTTCCAGGACCTACTGGGCCGCGTGGAGCAGACGGTTTCCCAGGAGATCCAGGACCAAGAGGACCAATAGGTCCACAAGGAGGTCCAGGATTACCTGGTATTCCAGGTCCAGAAGGTTTACCAGGAGAAAAAGGTACAAAGGGTGAACCTGGCTTGACTGGATTTCCTGGAGGTCCAGGACCACGTGGGTTCGATGGACCACCCGGAGCTGTGGGGCCACGTGGACCACCCGGAGAAAAAGGATTATCGATAATGGTAAAATATATAATCAAGTCTTGCAATTATTACTATATAAAATATTACTATATAAAAAGAAATAATTTAATTATTATATCTGTTATAGGGTCCAAAAGGAATGGATGGAACGCCTGGTTTGGATGGAGAGAAGGGTCAAAAGGGAGAACGAGGTTATGCGGGTGTCCGAGGTCGACCGGGAGATTCTTTGGATGGTATTCCAGGAGCACCGGGTGCACCCGGTGAGCCTGGAGAAGCGGGAGCACCAGGAAGAGATGGTTTACCAGGTCTTCCTGGATCGCCTGGAGAAAAAGGAGATATTGGTGGTCGCTGTATAGATTGTTTACCGGGACTGCGAGGTGCTAAAGGAGATCGTGGTGCGGATGGTATTCCTGGGCTTACCGGACCTCGAGGACCACCCGGAGAGCGTGGTTTCCCTGGAGAATCTGGAGTGGACGGTCTACCAGGACCAATCGGACCTCCGGGATTGCCGGTATATTATTTTTAATTTTATTATTTTTTTTATAGTTTATTTTATTAATTGTGTAATAATTATATTTCAATATAACGAATTAATAATATAAATGTATTTTGTTCTTACAGTAAAATAATATTTAATAGAATTAAAAAAAATCACCTGAAACTTTAAAAAAAAACAGAGATGAGATATATTTCTTTTATTATATTATATAGATCTGATAATTTTAAGTAAATTCATATATTTTTGCTTAAAATATTTTTATAAAAACATTTATTTATGGAATTAATAAAATGAAATAATATATGGATGTATATATATTATCTCAATTGTGAATTGTTAAACAAAACAAAATATATCAATTTTTCAATAAGGGAAAAGATGGTATACCCGGTTCTCCAGGACCTCAAGGAAACCCTGGAAACCCAGCAACAGTGACATGGGGTATGCTTCATTTGGAGAAAGGTGATAAAGGAGCACGTGGAGAACCTGGTCGACAAGGCCCGCCAGGACCTGAAGGGCCTCCAGGAGAGAAGGGCAGACCCGGACTCGAAGGTTTCCCAGGACTTAAAGGAACACCAGTAAGATTAATCTCTTAATTATAATTATTAAAAGACATATATTTTTGGTCAAAACTTTTTTTTGTATATCAGAATATAAAACTCATCACTTTTAGGGAGATCGCGGTTTTCCTGGACAAGACGGTGTCCCAGGAAGATCAGGTTCACCTGGATTCAAGGGAGAAAAAGGATTAAGTATAAAAGGTGAACCTGGAGAACCAGGTCGACCAGGATTTCCAGGACAAAAAGGAGAACCTGGTTTGTACGGATTAAAGGGTGAACCTGGTAAGATTTCGTTAATTTAAAAAATTTTTTACATATTTTGTTAGAAATTTTTTTAATTAATTTTTTTATATTTTTTTACATATTTCAAAAATTTTTACATATTAATTAAATATGTAAATATGTACACACACACACACACACACACACACACACACACACACACACACACACACACACACAACACACACACACACACAATATATATATATATATATATATATATATTATATA